ATTATAATCCGCTGTCACTGGTTTTTAGCTTGATTATGTGCTTCCGCCGCTGTGTCAGGTGTCCCATATGGTTTTAAATATGCTATGCATTTTGCATAATGTCCGGCAATTTCATTCATGTTTCATGCCTCTGCATTAGCTCCAGTTTTGGCCAGAGGCATTATGCTGTCAGGTTGACCCCTTGGACTCTAGAGTGAACTAGTAACCCAGTCCTGGGTCAGTCCACATTGCTCAAGGTTCGGGAAGAGCAAAGTATGAGTAAATAAGTGAAAATGACCAAAAACACACTGGAGTTTGCATTAACTGCAATTTTAGTTGCATGAAACATTAAACATTCACATACAAAAACTATGGAGTAGTGAGAGTGCCAAATTACAAAAATAAATCAATAAAAGCAGAAAAAAAGTAAAAGTGGAAATAAAAAGAAGATTAAATAAAAAAATAAATAATGTGGCAATATAAAGCAATATTAATCAAAAATGAAAAAAGAAAAGGCTAATAAAAATAGAAATATAAAGACAAATAAATATAATAATAATTTTAATTTATTTATTTTATATTATTTTTTCTTTTTTTTATGTCACTTTAAAAGCAAAGGCACAACGACATTCCTACTGCGCACATTTTTCTGCGCCTATTTCATTTGCTTTTAAAGCGCTTTTTAAATGTTGCTTTAAAAGCAAATGAAATATACAGAAAAATGTGCACAGTAGGAATGTCGTTGTGCGCAGGCACAGAAGGAATAGTACACAAGTACGGACGCGCGTCCTTGGGACAGCATGTATCCCAGAATGCATTTCACGCCACCAGCGATAAGGAGAAAACTTTCAAAACTAATTCAATTTTTTTTTGTAACTACTACTGTTATTGTGACATATAATGTAGTTTTAAGGTTGTTTTAGGCAAGAAAGTTGTTGTATAAACATCAAATCTGTGGTCAATGGATCAAGATAAAGCCTGCTTAAAATTTTGCTCCAACGATTTCGGAGATGTGACTGTCGCGGTTTGACAGCTGTGATGGCAGTCTGGGTTCGCAGTAGCCGCCGAGAGCAGCCTTAAGTCAGCAAGACTTTCTGAAGTCTGCCTCTGGCTCTGAAGCAAATACTACACAGGTAAACACCTTCACTGCTAACAGAAAACAAGTTAATGAGTTAGATTACCGAGGTATGTGAAGGATAATTAACCACAAACGAAACTGGCACTTCTGGTTATTTTACCCAGCTCTTATCTCGTTAATATTTCTTAACAGTCGGACTTCTGCATCTGTTTTGAAGCAAATTATTACCTACTGTAACTTTTACACAGCTCAACTCCCTGAGGAGAAGCAACTTCTGCCGCTCACGATGCGAGATCTCTTTAACACTGTAAAAAAACGCCTTTAAATTTAGTAAGGGAGAGAAAAAATGAATAAAACAAATATTTTTAGGTTATCATTATTGTAGTGTTAACAATGAAATTAAGAGAAAAAAAGAATGACTTTAGAACTTAATTATTTAATTATTTACAAATGATTTCTATTTTAAGCTGTTTTTCCAGCAGGGTTACAAACTGACTCTGTGATCAAAGGTCACTGTTAGTTCAGGAATCACGTTTTCAGCCAGAACTCTACTCCAATTATGACAACATTTTACACAGTTGTCTTTCCTGGTCAGTATTCAACTCCAGAACAGAAGGCGAGATTTTGGCCATAGTTGACATTTAGTGAGATACAGAATTGGTGACACTAATCCTGGGTGCCCACCCTGAAACTGTGGTGACTGTATAGATCTGTGCTGCTAAGTTGAAGATCTCTGTGCAGTTTTGTAGCTTCTTTGCAGCAAAATCCATAGTTAAAGCTTTATCTACAAGTTGTGTTCTATCAGAATGAGCATCGTTTTCTAAGTCTGTCAACAAATACAAGGAATTAGACTGTTTATTGTTTCATGGAATGAGCTTACACTCTTCAAAGTCTTCACTACATGTGTTGTATGAGTCTTGGCAGACATGGATGTAAACTGGAAGTTGACCGGCTGGTGAAGGCTCACTTCTGTCACACTGTAATTCTGGTTGCAAATTACTGTAATTAGTCACATTCTGCAGATGCCATTATGAATAAAAAAGTTTTAAAAGCTGCTTTGATATAGAATTTTCACCTAAGTTTTTGGTTTCTTTCGGCTATCTTTAAGCTCACTGTTTTGGTTTTATGGTCGACAGCTTTACTGTTTTCATTCACTCGCACAGATCTTGTCAGCATAGTATTTATCTGATAAAAATTGTTCTTCCCTGCCTGCCAATGAACAGCAGATAGACAAATTAAGGGTAAACCAACATAAAGTGTCTTAGTAAGGTGTTGGGCTACCAAGTGCTGCAGGAACAGCTTCAGTCCTCCTTGGCATTCAATCTGTAAGTCTCGAGAACTTTACAGGAGGAATGCAAACCATTCTTACAAAAGATATTGTATCATTTGGTGTTTTGATGCAGCTGCTGGAGAGCGTGTCCAACACATTGGTCTAAATTCTCCTATAGGAGTTTATTTGGGTTGAGCTCTGGTCACAAAGGTCATAACGCATGATTCGTATTGCTTTCATACTTATCAAACCATCCAGTGACCCCTTGTGCTCCATGGATAGAAACATTACACAACTACCATCAGGATAGAAATGTTTCATCACAGGATAATGATGATCCTCTGAGGGAGCAAGTGGACCCAAACCATGCCATCAAAATGCCCCCCACAGTATAACGGAGCCATCAGACCCGACATCATAGGGGTTTGTTTGTTTTTTTTCCCCTTTCATTTGTAACCTGTTTAAAGATGGTGAGCACAGAGGAGCATTTTGCAGCTGAAAGTTACAATCAGGAGTTGGTGGATGGAATAGCAGAACTGAAAGAGAATGAATACTGATTACAATCATGAGCTGGACAGAAACATGACGATAAATGAATGCTACTGTTGCTGTCTGTGCTCACAGCTTTATGTCATGTCATATCAGCTTCAAAAGGGATGTTTCATTTACTTATTACTGTATGTATTTTTACATTTTTGCTGTATCCTGCTATTGCCTTTTTTAATTTCTCTGTGTCAGAATGAACAATATAAAACCCACCGGAGGTCTCACAGATGTTTGCATCAGCTCATCCTGCTGCGGCACATGCAGGAAGCTGTGTAACGAGGTGTTAAAATGACTGTTATCTTATTCAAAATGTCATTTGTCTCTGTAAGGATGGTGAGAGGATTTTGAATACAATGAGAGTGTGGTCTGAAAACAGTGCTGCCTTCTAAGGGGCTGAAGATGAGTCATAGTTGTGTAGGACTGCCCACCACCCGCCACAGACACACAAATATCCCCCCAAATAAACACCTTCCTCGTTACTGAATAATGCATTCAGAGAGGAGTGTTGCATTACCGGGTATCTATTACGTATTCCTGAGAATTCCCACTGCATGAAGTGTACTCATCTCAGGATCTGGCTTGCATCTATTTGACATTGCTCCCAGGATGTGTTTAGTCCCCCCCCCACAAGGCTTAAGTACATCTTAAGTAAGGGTTGTAAGCTAGTCAGAGCACTAGTTGGAGGGATTGGAGGACTGAATAAACAGTAGTTGTTATATAAGAGCCACTGAGTACAGCTAACCTGAGCCATGGGAACTTTAGGATGACACAGAAATGGTGTGTGGCACCTAAGTTTACATGGTAACCACAAAGTTACTGGAGAAAGTTATGGCATGAGGTTTATCTACTGTTTCTGTTGTTACAAATGTAAGCTGATCCATGGCAACAAACAATTGTTGTGTTGATGTTGATTAAAATGACGCATGTGTATCTGGCTAAACCGAGACTCTGTGCAGCCTTTTAAGGCTGATTAAAAATCAGATCTATGTCAGACGTGTGTGTGTGTGTGTTTGGAGGCGGGATACACGGGAGGGGGGATAATCGAGTGCTTTCAGTTGCAGTGCAGTTGTAGCTTTACTGTCCTTTCTAAGTGATTCTGATCTAGATCAATACTTCTTGTGCTGTCAGTTGTTAAGAGACTGCAGCTCACAGCACAGATGCTACACTACAGTGCCCTAACGAATAGTAATTTATAGTAGTAAAGCTAGAGTTATTTTGGCATTCAGCATGTTGTTCGACAACCAAGTTGTTTATTTAATAGATCTTAGATAACGTGTCGATTCCCCATTTTACCGTGCCATTTGTAATAATCTGTACTGTAGAAACATCGAGCTTGTGTGTAAAGATAAAGTAACTCTAAAGACTAGACCTGACTTCTTCAAGCTGAGCATCTACAAACCAGCTGATAAAGTGAAGAATCCTGTCCGAGTTGACTGAGCTGAATTTGATTTCCACAGCGGTGATAGCATCACCAGCGGACGATGAGGCAAATTGGCCAGTGCTCCCTAAAGCTTTTTATCTTATGATTAACAATAGAGCAGAAAAAAGAAAACCAGCCTGGCGACTTAAATATACAGCTTTCATCAATGACGCATTTGGTGCTGATGACGGCTGTGGGCATACAGCCAAAACATGCTGAGATGTACACAAAGATTTATCATTTTGAGAGAATAGTGGCTATTTTCCCAGTCTTGTACAAATCCAAGCCTTTCACACCTCTTTTTATCTTTATTTTTCTGACACCTCCAGCTGCTATTTGAAACCACTGAGCCGCCTGTTTGATTGATAGCTCCTTCTCCACCTGCTAAGCTCAAAGAGCCAAAGAAAAGTAGCAAATAACCCTGCAGGCAATGATAGATCTTATGACCCCTCATTGAAATGTCTGTCTTTGAAATGAGTGGACATTCATTTGATGCTGCTGCACTACAAGATTTCAAGTGTTTGGGTGCCTTGTAACTGATAAATGAATAAGCATTCTTGTTTTTGAGATGATGAAGCAGCTATATTAGAAGAGATGTTAAAGAGCTTTAGAGAAAATGTCAAGGTAACTTCAACTGCTTTCAGGCCTTTGTTGAAAAGCTGCCTGGAAGTTAATACAGATGCTTCTTCTGTGTCCTTTTCTTGCAGGTATCTGGGGATTACACGGCCTCTCACCTACCCAGCACGGCAGAATGGTCAGCTGATGGCAAAGATGATCCTGGGAGTGTGGCTGGTGTCAGCATCCATCACCCTGCCACCTTTCTGTGGCTGGGCCAAAAACGTCCACACAGCCGGTGTGTGCCTCATTAGCCAAGATTTTGGCTACACCATCTATTCCACAGCTGTAGCCTTTTACATCCCAATGCTGGTCATGCTGGTCATGTACTACAAGATCTTCAGGGCAGCTCGCAAGAGCGGCGCCAAGCACCGCTTCACCGACCTTTCGCGCCGGGAGCGTCTTGAAACGGTGGCTAATGAGGCGCTGAGAATGCAGGGCCTGAAGCCACCTGGTGTGGCAGAGGAGTGTGCCGCTTTGTCCCGCCTGCTGAACCGTGAGCGCAGAAACATCTCCATCTTCAAGAGGGAGCAGAAAGCAGCCACGACACTCGGGGTGATTGTGGGGGTCTTCGCTGTGTGCTGGTTGCCATTCTTCATCCTGTCCACTGCCAGGCCCTTTATCTGCGGAGTGGAGTGTAGCTGCGTGCCCATTTGGCTGGAGCGCACACTACTCTGGCTAGGCTACGCCAACTCCCTAATGAACCCCTTCATCTACGCCTTCTTCAATCGCGACCTGCGCTCCACATATCGCGACCTTCTCCGCTGCCGTTATCGCAACATCAACCGCCGGCTGTCTGCCGTGGGCGTACATGAGGCTCTCAAGGTGTAAAGCGTGGTTGTTTAGCAGCATATATTGTGGGGTTTGGTGGCCCTGTGCTTGTACGCTTGGTGCTCAAAGGGCGACATGTACACAGGAGGCCTGTAGATAAGATGCAGACTGACAGAATGGGAGTCTCTTTTGGTGGCTCTGTGGCCCCTCCGCAAAGGCAGAGAGACGGCACCATCACTTCAGTGTGTGTGTGTGTGACTCAGTCATTCTATTTTTGGAAAGAAAATCATAGAGCGTACTTGATGGACTATTCAAGTCGACACTGCTTTTGTGCATATGCCACAATTTTGTCCTGGCTCCGGATTTATGGTGGGATAATGCAGTGACAAAGGAAATGACATGTAAACACGATCAATCACCCGAGGGCTTTCAAAGAGAACAGAAAGCAAAGAGATTTCTGTATATTACCAAAATTGATGTTTGATAAGGAAAAACATTTGTTTTGTGGCACAGTGTCTTCTGAGCATCTTCATCTTGACACGTGTTTGAGCACATCCCAGATTCTTGTTTCAAACAGGAGAACAGTTTGAGATGCATTGTGCTTGGTGCCAGGATTACATATTATTTCTATCACTTTATCACTAGTTATTAGTGCTTTCAATTTGGTCCTCTCACTAAATTTAACAGGAGCACCTTAGATGTTTAACAAATGTTTAAAATTGAATGATCCCAAAAGGAACAGAGATGAGTGGAAAAGAGTGTTTAAACGCAACATGATGGGAACCTTTATCCACTCATGATATCTCAATGTTTGTTATTATAAAAGAGTTTGTTTAGTGTCTGCATGAAACATATATGTCTAACATGCCACTGTATTCATAAATCAAAAGAGAACTTGGCTAGTGACAGTTTGGCAGAGGTGTGTTCATGGTTTACCCCAACACTGAATCGCACAACTTGAATTCAACTCATTACTGTATGTGTCAGAAACCATGATACTGTGGACTTTTTCCACTCTCAATATTTTGCCTTGATCGGTTTCATTCCACATTTGACTCCTGACCATCTTAGCAAACTAAACCTTTTCACTTTAAGAAGTTACATGTTCTTGAGAGTATTTCTCTCCACTTGTCAACACTGTTTCTGTCGCCCTTCTGAAACAGGATGTGGTCGCTTCCCTCCCGACTACACTCGCATTTTGATCTTTTCATTGACCTCTAAGAAAACGTGTCAAATGTCATCAGTCGAGCAGTGTGTGCTTTTTCTACCTCGATTTTTTGAAAATACTGTACATTTTCTCCAAGCAGATGTACCGCTGTATCATTTTGTAATTAACTGCTATTTTTTATTGTGTAAAATCGATCTGTCTACAACTGCGTGTGGGTGCTTTGTGTGACCGCTTTGTCATTACCTTGATAAAACAAGCTGGGGGAGTGGCAAAGCATTTCATCACTTTGTAAATAAAGAAACACTTAAAATGTCTCTGTGGTCTACATTGGTCACCTCAGATGACATGCATTCATGAGAACTCAGTGGAGTCCTTCAGACTGACAGTCTTTTCATTTAAGAGACAGTCTACACAGATCTTCTTGTGTTCCAGCGTCACAAAGAATTTCTTCATCAAATGCCTGATGCACACAGATTTTCGTCCAAAATTCATCGTCCTGTCTGAATAGATTGATAGGTCTACTGCGAGAAATAGAGACACACCTTATGGCCTGCTAGCAGCCTTTAAAACATTCATTTCTTAAAGAATTAGCACCAAGGCCGTTGTGCTACTTCAAGGACTCTGGAGACGCGTTTGATGATGCTGACCCAAAAAAGATGCCTTTATTCTCTGTGTGCTGGAAGCAAAATCTTTTATTCAGAGTCAGGGTGACAGCTGTCTGCTTGCTTTCATAACTGAAACTGTCCTCTGAAACAAGGATGAGGTAGTGTTTGACATGTGATGTGTTGTGTTTTGTGGTCAGAAGGTATGTAGACAGTCTAACCAGTGGGGTATCAGTTTCACTTGGTGTGACGACTGGAGGAATCATGAGTAACAGTTAAGATTTTGAAATGAAGTTATCAGCTCTGCACACACTTATTTGGTTTGCGTTAAGCATGAGAATAAAATGTTCATCATTTAAATATAGTGGAAAATAAGCAAAAAGTCCCAATACGACAGGTTTGGTGCAAACCAAATGAGTAGAGTCCCCTGAAGGGCAACTTCAGGTTTCCACATTTGTGTAAGTTGACCGATGTGGTCTTTGGGTAGGGATACGGTTCCATTCATACTACAGTGTACACAGCTTACTAGGGGTATGCATCAGTGTGATGGTCACATTACACCTCACATTGCACACAGAAAAAAGGCTAAGACGCTTTCTTTGATTTCACCCTTTCACAGAATATAGCAGTGATTTACAGATTGGGCTGTAGCAGCATGTCAGTGATCAGTCCTGAAGTGTGCCAAATGGTATAAATTGCCTGAAGCCAGAGTTTGCTGCTTTTCCATCCCAAGCACAGTGGGCGGATAAAGCACAGGATCTCTGGAGAACTTGGAACTTTCCAGTGCTTGGGAACTGTCGTTTGAAGTCTGGTGCAAATCAAGGCACTTCCAAAGTATGGCAGCAACTTCTTCTATTATAACTCTTTTAGTGATCAATTAGAAAGGCCTGAATGGCAGCAAATGTCCTAACGCAGTGTCTCCTCAAAACAAACATTTGTTTCATGTACATTTGTTTTCCTGCTGCATGCATAGTCAACACATCTACCGTACATACAGTACATATCGTCCATTTTGGGCTTCACGCAGATGTTTGCAGAAGGGTCCACATAGACCCTCAATGACTTTGGGCAGATGGCGAAATTGATGACATGTGTCCTTGTGGATGCAGGAAGTCATATACTGACATTTAGTGACAGTGGTTCTTTAGGGTAAATGATGCGGTTAGCATGCTAACATGCTCACAATAACAATGTAACACCTGGAATAACATTTTTTTGGTCATTGGGTGGCCAGACCCCGAGTCAACATGATAGTAACATTTTTAGATCAGCTGCTGTTTGCTAACCTTGTCTGTCATTTGGTGTTGGACAGCAAGCAGTGCAGTGGGTTTAAAGATCTTTTCTGCTGAAAACAGCTACTGCTTTGGCTGGAAACTACAATAATGAGAGCTGCAAGAATCAAGCATGGATGTTACAAGATAGATACTCACTACATAGAGAATCATGAAATTCTGTGGTATGACACATGTCCCACCCCTCCCCACAAAGAGTCAAACGCCTGCTCTGTAGCAGCTGAACATTCAGCCAATTGTGTTGTTGCACAGATGTAATTTTGCTGTCTTAAATCTGTGCTCACTTAAACCTTTTTTTAAACCACATTTTGGGCCAAAGTCACCAAAATCTTTGAGCAGCTTTTTCAGATTTAACTGCTGATTCTGTGCATTTAGTTTTTATGTTCTGGAGACCACGGATATTTAAATTATGGCTCGCTCTCCATTCATTTAGATAGAGGCCTGATCTTGTTAGTCACTGACATGGCTGCTGAGTGGTGAGATTTGTCAATAAGGCCTTTGAGTGAACTGAGAAAAATGTGATATTTCAGTCTGGAACACAGCGATGGACACTGCCACCACTAATGTGGCTTGAATGGCTCAAAACTGCAAAGGTTGCTGTAGATGTTCTTGGTTTTCCCAAACAAAGTTAGGTTAATTTCATTGTAATTCAGTAGAAACCTGGACATATGGCATATCGCTCTGAAATCAGTCCAAATTTAGAGCCTCTTTTATTATATCTACTGTCATATTCCAAAAATGATTTGGTTGTTTGGGTTGGCGGTGCACTTGATAATTTCCAGCATATTACCGTCTGTCAAATGATTTGGTGGGACAGTTCCCAAATGAAGCATAAGGACTTTTCTAATTATACTTTTCATTCTCACCACGAGTGGCTCTCTTGATCAAGAGATCGCTGTTATGCAATTCAGTACTGTTTCAACAATAATAAAAACTCATCTGAGAGTCCTGGGGACATTTTTTAGTTAAAGAGGGCTTTGTGGACTAATGTGTATCTATTTCAGGCACAGAGTTAAAAAAAGCTTTGAAACTCTCTGGAGTAAAGAGCAGGAACGTGGCCTCAGCCAACATGTTGACATTTTGTTTTAGCACATGAAATAGCATGCAGCCCTAGCGGATCTTGTGCATTGCCTTTAAGATGTCCAGTCTCGCAGCAGCCATGTCAGCAGACATTACTCGCGGGGAATGAGCACCACTGTGCCTGGGAGGAGTGCCCGCTCTCTCAGTCAATGTGGCTTGCCTCCTGCCCTGGCGCCTGATGTGTGTCATCACTATCAGTGAACGGGAGACGGGAGTGAAATGTTTACGTGTGATGTAGTATATTCATCAACTGGAAAAGAGTAGTAGCAGATGAGTCTTTCACATATGCTGCCCACAGGCTCAGTTGCCAGTTCTGACAGGCAGTGGGGGCTGATGGGGAAATATACACTCTCGCTTTGCTATTTTTAATCTGCCCCAGTAATTAAGTAGGGAAGCTTTGATTAAGCATGGGGAAAGAGATCTAAAGCTCCACAATTTTACTATCTCTCAATGTGTCCCTCACACCCCCGCATGAAAACACTGACTGAGAGAGAGCCCTTGTGCGATGCTGAATACAGCAATAAGACTATATGGTGACCAGCAAGTGATAAAGGTAATAGTTACTTACATTTCTACACAAAGGATTGCTATTCATTTTACCTGACTTTACTTGCACAATATTTGTGTTTGTTTTTGATTTATGACACACATTCATCCGGTATTATAGTCATACATAGACATCATTCATAGACAATATATTTCAGATTTAATGAAAAAAAAACAACAAAAAAAACCCACGACATATTCAGTCACCATATAGAGACTGTTATGCATTGAACAAATCTGATCTTCTATGAAATCTGTATGAAAGCGTGTGTATATTTGATGTTCTGCATGCAACATTCAGAACCACTGGATGCTGGTGGAACACCTACATCTCAGACTAAAACAAACGAGTTGTCGGCCACATCTTTTTTTATTTTTTTATTTACAACCAGAAAGGTTTCATATATCAGAGCTAACAAAAAAAAGAATCCTACCATAGTCATTTGCCCAATAAACAGTAGTAGAGACTCACACTGAGCTGAAAATAAAACAAATGTACATAAATTAGGTAAATAACACAAATCATGGCTGCATCAGGTGAAAGCTCTGGACTGCACTTTTGCTTGCAGTGCAGTGTGGGAGCTCACTTTTGGTTTGTGTATAAGTACAAGAAGGGCAAACAATTTCAAAGGGAGGACCTCATATGCACTCGGATGCACGACTGGACTGGCTGCCATAAATTAAAGACAGTGGAGCCTGGATTACAACACATACACAGAGGAAGTGTGACTTTAATCTTTGCTAAGACCACCATTACACCACTACATATTTACATGGTAGGTGGTTGTTTGCTGCTATATTAATGCTACATTTGTGTTCAAAATCTTACATATCACACTTTTAACTTTACCAGTAAGTTCAGTATGTACAAACTTTGGTATATTGTTCCAGCCAACCCGGGTGTGGTGAGATAAAGTGGGTCAACGGGGTTGTGAGATCATTGCCAGGTAAGAAACAAGTTAAATAAATTCCATTAAACAATCTCTAAAAAATGATTAAATTACAAGTGTCCAAGAAGGAAACAACATTCACAGCATGTAGACACATGGGCCAGGATAAGGAGTTGCAGTAATATATATATGAAGAGTTCATTTGCAAAAACAGATAACTCCATTTTTGTAGATTTTCAGAAAACTTATTTTTCAGTTGTTTGCTTCAGATAACATCAATCAAACTGAAGTTGAGTGGATTTAACTCAGTAGAAATGACATGACAAAAATAGAGATAACTTAGGTTTGATTGATATCGTCTCAGGTGGACGATGGAAAAGTGGGTTGCTGAAGGTTTGTGAAGATGGAGTTATCTTGTTTTTGCAAATGAACTCTTCATATATGCCTGATGTTCTTGTAATTCAGTCATACATGTTTGA